TAAAGTGGGTGCAGTCCAACACACTACCTCAGTAGGATTGCAAAATACTATGTCCATAGCAGTGTTTTCAGTACGATTTTGTTATTGCAGTGAGGGAGCCCGTGCACTCTACGTTTAAGTAAACACTAAGCTAAGAGATTTTAATTTATGTACATGGATTTTTGCTTAATGCTCCAAGGTACACTACTGTAAGATTTTTTGTTTTGGGGAAAAAAGTATTTTATGCTCACCAAGGCTGCATTTATTTAATCAAAAATACTGTACTATTGTGAAATATTATTACAATTTAAAGTAACACTTTTCTATTGTAATATTTTTTTAAATGTAACTTATTTCTGTGATGGCAAAGCTGAATTTACAGCTTTCATGTAATTATTATCCATGTTGAAAGCAGTTGCTACCATTGTCAGTTTTCTTTACTGTCACTTTTTTTGATCAATATGTCCTTGCTGAATGAAAGTATGAATTTCTTTACTTCTTTCAAAAAAAAAACAAAAAAAAAACTTTGTTGTACTGACCCCAAACTTTTTAACTATAGCGTGCTTCAAAGAATAATGTGCAGGACAAAGAAAGGCTCATTTTTCTCACTGAATGGGAGGATTATAGAGAAATGGAATGAATGGTAGATTGCTATTTTATTCTTACTTTTTGGCTTTTTTATTCTTATTGTTATTCAGATTGATAGTCAAGTATATGGATGGCAGAAGATGTTTTTTTCTCAGTTTTTCTTTTGTAAAATAGCCTGTGAATGTTAAAAGTGAGTTTTGATCTGGCCCCTGGAAGAGAGCAGTAGAAGAGCCCTATCATTTCCTGTCATCTCTCCATTGTTCTAGCATTAAAAGTGGTGGTGAAAAAGAGGACATTTTCTGATAACAGCACCAACTGCTATACTAGAAGCATAATATTGAATTTCAGGAAATGAACAAGTGCTTTTTAGCTTATGTGGGAGCCTGTTTAAAGCTAAACAAATCAGTTAGTGGAAGTAAAAGACTTTACTTTTCTTATCTTTGTGTGGCATGCTCAAACCCTTTCTTTTTCTCGCAGTACCATAACCTCTTATTGCTGCTGTGCAGACTGCACTGCTTCAGGGCCTGTGAAGGCTAGGCAGCTTGGCTTACATAAGGCTTAAGTGTATTTCAGATAGGCTATTTTAATTCACCCTGTCTGCCTATATGAGGCTTTTATCCAGAGGCTGTGAAGAGATGAATGCATGCACATCCGTAACAACAGTCCAGTGGAGCCAGGCAGACAGTTTCAGGCAAGCATAATGAAGGCTTTAGACTGGAATGCACTTCAAGGACTCAAATTGCAGCAAACATTGTTATACAGCATCATTATTACTAGATCCAATTCCATATAGACTTGCATTTATGTACTTTGCAACTTGAGATTGTATTTCACACAAGCAAACGATATTTCTTAGGACTAATTTTATCGCAGTTTTGCACCAATTAACTATCATATCAAAAGCTTGATGAAATGCCATTAATCACACAAAGACTATTTATAACCTTTGTGTAGTCAGGGATTGAAGTAGCAAAAGTTAAAAGCCCTCTTGAGCAGGTCGCTTAAATACAGTTATGATATGTTTTATTAGTAGACCAATATTATATAATATAATATAATAATGTGAATATTTTTGCCTTTATATGCTATATTATATTAACGATATCAGCTGTTCTAATATTTTATTAA